GGTTTCTGGAGCGTGGCTCGGTGCTGGAGGGCTGTGCAAATACAACCTGGCCCGTGGCTGCAGCCCCCCACGCCGGGACACGCAATGAAGTGGCCAGGAGCCGAGGCAGGCGTTGGCCGCCCGTGCTCAGGGTGGCCAGCAAGGCATGAAGCGCCTGCTTGTCGCACTGGTGGACCCCAGTGTCCCTCCTGCATGGGAGAGCATCCCAACCCGGGGTGGCGGGGTCCCTGGGCTGGTTCCCATCTCTACCTCTTGGTTTTAGGTCCACGAATCCCAGGGGTCGGACTCTTCCCCGGCAGCCAGTTCGGGGTACGAGTCCTCCACCCCCCCTGCAGTGGGCTCCGCCGGCAGTAAGGACTCCACTAAAACACCGCCGGCCGCCCTTCAGAGTAACCCCGGCCACAACCCTGGACTGCCCCCCAATTTTAATGAGTGGTATGTGTGAAGGCAGCTGCTGCCCAGCCAGAGACTGGACCAAATGCGTTGGGAACAAGGGCAGCCAGTTCGGGGTACGAGTCCTCCACCCCCCCTGCAGTGGGCTCCGCCGGCAGTAAGGACTCCACTAAAACACCGCCGGCCGCCCTTCAGAGTAACCCCGGCCACAACCCTGGACTGCCCCCCAATTTTAATGAGTGGTATGTGTGAAGGCAGCTGCTGCCCAGCCAGAGACTGGACCAAATGCGTTGGGAACAAGGGGAAAAAAAGAAAAAAAAAAAAAAAAAAAAGAAGGACAAACCAAGCCAAGTGCAGCTCGCTCCCACGGAAATGGAGTTTCCACACCGATGACCGCATAGGGCTACACCTAGTTAACTGCCAGGATCCGGAGGGAGGGGGGGTCTTTTATTATTATATTATAATTATTACTATTTTTTGCAAGCCCAGACGCTGGACTAGCCATGTCCTTTTCTCAGGATTGGATTTCTTTTTATTTTTTTGTTGTTGTCATTTTTTGCAGTCACAGTCGTTTCTTTGATACTTTTTTTTTTCCCCTCCCTGCCCCAGTCCCTCTTCCTCCGATTCCCCCACTTTTTTTCATTTTAATTTTGTTTTGTTTTTCCTTCTTTCGGTGGGATGTTGACATGAGGATGAAAATTCTCTTTCGCCTTAGTGGTGATTGTTTAAACTTACAGTCTTAAACCGTGCCAAAGTCCTGTTATGTCTTGAACTTTCCTCTCTAGCTCTCCTGCTGCTTCTTTCTCTGCTCTCCTCCTCTTTCTCCTTTTCTCTCTCTCCAAGCATTACACTTGTGAATGTATTCTCGTCTGATGGGGTCGGTCAGTATTTTTCAGGATGAGGATGTGGTGTTTATTCTACCCAGATTGTGACGTTTAGTATAACAGTTGCCTTTTTGTAATAACTTTTTTTGTAAATACATATCCATGATGCCATATTTATCGTTCGTAATTTAATTATTGATACAAAGTGCCGGGAACTGAACAATATTTATGGGGGAGAAAAAATTGTTTTCTAACAAAAAAAAAATACAAACAACAAAAAAATTATCCAACTCTGTACAGCTTTTGGTTATAACTGCTTTAGCATTAAAAGTTTATTGTTTTGGAAAGAACCGTTTCTGACCTCCTCCGGGTGACGGGGGCAGCCGCGGGGGTGCCATCGCGGGCCCGGTTCACTGCTCCTGCCGGGGTTTTCGGGCTGGCGATGCTGGGTGAAGCTTCCTCCTCGCCGCTGCTTTTTCTCCTGTCCCTTTGTCCATGCCCAGCGCCTTGGCTTCCTGGGGCGCGGAGCCGCTGAGGGCGAGAAG